ACGAAGAACTGAATGGTAAGACTGGGCAATAGAAGCAAAAGTCACAGTGCCTCAAGACCTTGAGCGTTCTCATGGGTATTTGATTTTATATTGAAAAGGTCATTCTCAAAGAGCATATCCTGGAACAGTCTGGCATTGTGAGGGAGTCTCTGCTCATCCAATGCTCAGGGAGCTTCACTAGATGATTAGAGGTCATATTTTGCTGGGTGCCCCACAGACTGGTGCTTTGCGTCCAGCTTGCCATTCTGTGCTGAACAATAAGCCTGTCTGACCTGAGGCAACCACTTCTAAGGATGAAAGTAGTAGACACTCTCCCTCTGAGTTAAGTCTTAAGCGGGTTCTATAAAGGTCTACTACTAAAGGAAAGAGTACAGAAGATTTGAGAGCACAGTGGTAGCTAACATTGGCTGCTCTCTGGTGAAGACCTCATATCTGATAGTAAAAGGAAGTCTTCACATCTCAAAAAGAAGAAGCCAGACAGTGTTCAGAGGCCAGCAGGCTCTTTCAATACCTGAGACAGCCAAGTTCCCTCAAGAATATTTAACATCCCAGGACAACTAGCCTAAGGGCTTCCCACCAATTCTATCTCTTTAAGGCCCTGCCTTTCCTTAACATTTGCATGCTGGAGGTGGGGGGACACTTTCAACACATGAACCCTTGGGAAACCACCTTTAAACTATATCAAACCCACAAGCTGAGGCCACCAAGCTGGCCTCGAACTCACAAGAACTCCACCTAATTTCTGCCTCCCAAGTGCTGGGATTAAAGGCATGTGCCACCACTGCCCAACTGCAAACTGGTTTTGAACATACCAACCTAACAAGAAGTTGCCCAATGTTTAGTAGCTACTTTGATCTGCTTCCCTAGAGGAAATGGTGCTACTTATGGGGCTCATAATGAACACGAGTACCCAAAAGACAATGACGTAGTAGACAGAGAACTTCACTGAGTGTAGCTTGGCACAACCCTGGTTCAGTATCCTAAAACGAAGACAACAGGTGAAACAGGACTGCAGTCATTTGAATGAGAATAGCCCCACAGGTTCATATATTTGAATGCTTGGTCCTTGGATGGTGGAACTGTTTGGGAAGGATTACAAGATATGGCCTTGTTAGAGGAGATGTGTTGGGAAATTTAAGTACTTGTCCCTCATAACTCTCTTCCTCCCCACCCAGCTGTAGAACTTCCATACAAGGTTGTTCTCAGAACTTTCTGGTGTGCAATGCCTGTGCCTTGACCCCAGATGTAGGTGGTGCATGACTTCCTCCTATGCTTAGTCCATCCCCTGGTGTGGGTATATAAGTCCATTACTCTCTGTAACAAATGGCAGCAGCTTCTTCACTTCTTGTGGTGATCTATTAAGTGTTTCAATCCTGACACCCTAGGCCAAGCTCGGTACTCTGGTTGCACAGGCACGGCAGAGATGTGCAAGGATGGACTTTGAGGTTTTCAAAAGAATATACCATTTCTAGAATATCTCTCTCTGTGTCTCTGTCTCTCTATCTCTCTCGGCCTTGTGCTTATGGATGAGATATAAGCTCTCAGCCACCACTCCAGCACTATGCCAGCCTGCCTTCTGCCATGCTCACCACCATAATGATCATGGACTAGAACCCTTTGGGACTGTAAGCCCCCTATAAAAGCTTCCTTCTATAAGCTGTTTTGGTCATGGTGTCTTATCACAGCAATAAAAAAGTGACTAAGAGTACTAATGTAAGACCCTCAGGAGAGAAGTGGAGTCCGGAGGCCGGCTCTCCCCCGGAGAAGCGAGACTTCGTCTCCTCCCCTCCTCTAAACAACCTGGACTTTTGTCCAGGGCTCAGGACACGTCTATCTCCCCCTGTGGTCCTATACCAAATACAAGTCCTGTGCAGGCCAGGCACAGATTCAAATACTCGAGTCAAAAACACATAACATCAGACACATCAGACATACATCAAACATATAGGTTGTGAGCTCTATCTTACCTCAAACTGGCAATGGAATTGAGTCTGGGGGTCGACCAGATCACGATGGGACCTCCAAAATGTAAGACCCTCAGAATGAGGAGTCTCCCATTTTCGGTCGGTACCCCCAAGAACTCAATGTCCAGTTCAGTTGCTGCAACACGCAAAAGGCTTTAATGAACAGGAATCGTTTGCGCAAACGGGCTCCTCCAGCATGCAGGCCAGAGAGAAGCCCCATCCCCCAGGCGCAGGTGTTTTTAAAGGCAAAACCCACAAGCTTAGGGTGGGGGTGGGACCCTCTGTCCATTGAGTACGGGACCCTTGGAGGCCTGATGGTCTCCCTATTAGGGTCAACAGACCTTAGGGCCTCAGGGTGTGCTAATTAATCTTGTCTGGGCAAACCAGAGGTACAGTTATCTCTTTGTTTCTTAAGGACCTTATTCACCACCTGCTGACTCACAAGAAAGGAGGGGCAGTAGGAATTCTTGGTATCTTGTTATCTCACGGCCTTGTGAGGGGAAATTAGCAAATTCCAAGGAACAGATATTGGTCTGGGTTAGCTTTCCAGGTTAATCTGACCTTCATTTCAAGTGGGGGGTTTCTTTAACTTTACTTTTTTGTCTTTCACTAAGAGAAGAGGATTCTGATGTTTTTAAAGTAAGGGTAATGCTGTGTGGGAGCCCATGTATGTGGGCCTTCAGTGGGAGCCAGCCAACTTGTCCAGTTCATACCTGAGAGGGGGAATGTGGATTGAGAAAGGATAGGTAAAGATGCAAAGAAGAAACGCAAGATAGATACATGGGGGCAAATTAGTGAATACTGAATGTTTATTCTTCAACATTCTTAAGTATCCCAACCAAAAGGGCCACATGGCAGAAAACATCTATTATCATTTATAAGGAGCAAACAGATTTTCTTCCCTTAATCCTCCAAGCCTTTGGTAACCACACCTGTTATCAGGCCTTGAGGGTCAAGAGTAAACACACCTGAGCCCAAGTCTGTTGTTGTTGTTGTTGTTGTTGTTATTGTTATTTAGATAAGACATCTGCTACCAAGGCCAAAACATCCTGCAGTAGCCAAACCTGAGACCCTTAGGCCTTTTGATTTAAAAAAAAAAAAAAAAAAAAAAAAAAAAAAAAAGGACAGCTTTGAACTCTCCAACCTTGAATCAAGATGAAGTGGAACCATCTTTATGGGCCCTGACAATGCTGATGATAGAGATGAGATGAGCCAAGTATAACCCTTGAATTGGCTTTCTGAGCAACCCATCCAGTGGGAAGGAACTGTGGTCAGCCACTTAGAAAACAGCATAGCACTCCCCTCACAAAGCTAAACAGAATTCCCGGGTGCCATTCACCTCTGGTGTCTTAGTTAGGGTGCTGTTGCTGTGAAGAGACACCAGGACCATGACAACTCTTACAAAGGAAAGCATCTAATTGGGGCTGGCTTACAGTTCAGAGGTTTAGTCCATTATCATCATGGCGGGAAGCATGGTGGCATGTAGACAGATATGGTGCTGGAAAGGTGACTGAAAATATTACATCTGGATCCACAGGCAGCAGGAAGAGACAGGGAGCCACTGGGCCTGGCTTGAGCTTCTGAAATCTCAGAGCCCACCCCCAGTGACACACTTCTTCCAACAAGTCTACAACTACTCCCATAAGGTCACACCTCCAATAATGCCACTCCCTATGAGTCTATGGCGGCTATCTTTATTCAGATCACATCTGGATATAGACAAAAAAGAGCTGGAGATAAGGGACTGGAGCAGATACTCAGACATCAGTGTTCAGAGCAGCATTTATTAAGTTTATAGCTGGTGGGAAAACAAGTGTGCTGTGTTCATACTGATGAAACTAGAGACATAGATGATGTAAGGCACACTTACATTTGGTACATGACTCCCGCACATCATAGAGATGGAGGATATAATGGTGCTTGCCAAAGGCTGAGGAAGGGAAGAATTGGGGAATTAACTGTTGTATAATGGTGTAGTCATTACTTTTCCTACTGTCGTGGCAAGGTACTGGGACAAAAGCAATTTAAGGAGAGAAGATTTCGCTCTGGTGTACATTCAAAGGGAAGCCATAGTGGCAGCAGCAGCAGGAGCAGACAGGCTGGTCACATGGCATCTGCTTCCAGGGGAGTGCAGGGGATGTGGGGAAGGACTATAAAGTGTGGGAGCTTGCTGGCAGTAAGTCACTTTCTCAGACAAGGTTTTCCACCACCTAAAGATTTCTACACCCTCACACACACAACACCACCACCATCCGGGGACCACGTGGTTCAAACACAGCAGCCTGGGTAGCATTTCACATTCAAACACAGCAAATGGCTGTGGAGAAAGTCCTAGACATGCACTGTGATGATGAACACCCAGAGGAGTGCATGAAATAAATGCCATCAAATGTTCACTTAAAAGCTGTTAAAATAGAGTCAGGCAGTAGTGGCGCACACCTTTAATAACAGCACTTAGGAGGCAGAGTTCTCTGTGAGTTCAAGGCCAGCCTGGTCCACAAAGTGAGCTCCAGGACAGCCAGGGCTATTACATGGAGAAACTTTGTCTCAAAAAAAAAAAAAAAAAAAAAAAAAAAAAGTTATAAAATGATGAGAAAGTGATACAGAAAGAGAGAGACAAAAAGAGAGAGGAGAAAGCCAAATCTAGGGCCATTCAGAGGACCTAAATGACAAGCTTAGGAACCAGAATTGGGGTTCCTGGAGCCAGGACTACAGCTCCATTTCTGGAACCTCTGAAGCAGCTCTATCATCCCCAATCTAGGAAGGACCACACAGCCTTGGAATGCAATAAAAATTGTCTTGAAAGCCATAGATCTAGTTAGTTAATCCGTGGGGAAGCATTTGCCTTTGGGAATTTTCCTTTTGCTTTGGACACTATAATAACTCTGTCATTCTGTGGCATGATTCCCCACCCCTAGCCATGTGAATTGTTTCACAAGCTACTCTTTAAGAGCCCCTCACAGCACAGGTGGCTCGTCCACATAGGGTCGAAACCCTTCATTTCCTCTAAAGGAGGCATCCCCCTGCTGCTTCCCTTCAGCTCCTAACATCTGAAGCTGGGCTCCCTGTCTTTGTTCCAGCATTTCTTGGATGATGACTCACAAGGCTTTGCCCAGGAGGTGGGCTGGGAGCCAGTGTGACAGCAGAGGGACATGGATGAGCTCTGCATGCCCATTTCCAAGGTACAGAGATAGGTAGTAGGTGTAGTCACAGATGTACCTGCAACCACAGGAAACTCCCCATTACTTCTGGATCCTGTCACTTCCAGACAGAGTGCGTGCAGTGTTCATAAAACTTGAGTTTGGTCTTCTGCTAGAGAAAGGACACAGGGCTAAGAACACACCAGACACTGGGTCTTGGCCGCACAGTCTAATGTCCAGGAAGGGGTCAGGGCAAAATTGAACCAAACTTTCAAACAACTCATGCTAAAGCACCCTAAACCACAGTCACTCCCTCACTTGCCTCTTCACTCAGGCATTTCTTTAGCCCTTGAAGAGAGGACAAAATGCTTAGTGGGAGGGGCTGTCAGTGTTTGGAAAAGAGGTTAAATTAATCTGCAGGACCCGTGACAACAAAATGCAACTCAGGGGATGCCTGTGACCAAAGCAGTCACCTGGACAGCAAAGGATAACATCCTGAGGAAAGAGAAGGGAGTCTGAAGGACATTCCCTCTCCCCCATCTATTTGGCACATGGACACCTGAAGTGTACCTGCCTGCATCTTGGGAAAAGGCCACCTCAACATCGTCAATGGAAAACGATGGCAGACTCCCTTCATGTTGACAACAGACAGCATCACTTCTGGGCCCCCAGGGAGGCACACTCCACCCTCAGTCTGGAAGCCTTGTGTGTCTGTATCCCTATAAGTTCCGTTCTTGCCACACTGTTCTAGAAAGATGGCCTTGATGAAAGTGTCCATGCCCACATGCACAGCAAGCTGTGTGAATACACATATCAGAAATCCCAGGACACCATATCACTAGATGTGTAGAAAGACCTAGCCATGACAGAACCCAGCTCCAGGATACAAAACACGTCAAGCTCCAAATCCACTAGGAACCCAGAATCCCTGGATGGGCCCCTAATTAATGGCGCTGGAGCAAAAGGAACATTTCTTTGGGTGATAGAAGGCAAGTATTCTTCTGTTGCAAATGACTCTTTGTACACTCTCTTTCCCCATGGGTGGGCGGGGGGCAAGTATCCAAGATGATCCCAGGAAAAACTGGCTTTTAGCAGAATCACACATCTTTTTAACGAAACATTCATAGAGGAGGCTAGCAATAATCTAATCAAATCTTACTAGATTTTATTTTGCCTCTTTTGAAAATAGCTACAGAGGTTTTGTTGCAGCCTTTGGGTAGAGTCTTACCACAGGGTGCTGTGTTTGACTTCCATTCTGTTACCTTTGGGGGAATGGACTACAGGGCCCTGCATGGACCCCCAGGACACCTTGGGAAAGCCTGAAGCTGCTGGCTGGAACAGCTTGCCCCAGAGCTGTCATTGGTACTCTTCCTGTTTTGCTGACACACACCTGGTCGGGAGGAGCTCAGCCTGAAGACCCTGTTATTTTCACTATGCTGTAAATCAGTATATAAGCCTACCCCATTCCCTCAATAAATGGCACTGGGCATTCTGACATTGCCGTTGACCGAATGACCCGCTGTCTTGTCTCTTATTTCAACCTCTAGGCCTTCATCCTATTATTCATGGAACAGATTGTAGAGTGGGCACTACAATGGACATTTGTATTCCCCATTTATACAATGTTTATGTTCAGTTACTATGTAGGCAGAGAGTTTTTATTTGCTTGAAATGGCATTTTGGTTTCACAATGTAGACCAGGCTGACCTTAAACTCACAGAGATTCACCTGCCTCTGCCTCCCAGAGATTAAAGGTATGAGCCACCACACAGGCACCCTGATGTGGTGCTTTGAAGGTGGGCTGGCCCTAGGTGGACTGTCATCTGACCACCTTTCCTAGGCCCAGACATGCACTGGCTTAAGCCCCTCAGAACAACCAGCACCAAAGCCATAAATGGGACTCAATTCAGGTCCTTTCTCTGAGGTGTGAACTATCATTGAGTGCTGGCTTGAAATGAGATTCACATAACTTATATCCATGAGGCAGAGACAGAGAGGTCTCTCTGAGTTCAAGGACAGCCAGGACTACTCTGTCTTGCAAAAAAAAAAAAAAAAAAAAAAAAATTCCCATTTCTGCCCCAGTCATTTTGTGAAATCTACCTACCCCATGTTTTAGCATAATTTATATAAAAACCCAGAATTTTATGTCAGAGGCTTGTACCTAACACTGGAGGAAAGTGCACTTCAGCCTTCAAATCAAACCTAGAACAAGATCCAGAAAGTTACCACCCCTGGCACATGAGCAGCCTCCAGGGCCACTGCCTCCCCAGGCATCACCTGTGGTTGAAAATCCTCCCGGATTGTGGTGAGCCTCCGTCTCACCTCCCTGAAATCCAAAGGCATCTTAAGAGTCTGCAGTCCTGTTAGTGTCCACCCTTAAGCCCAGCTTGGAGAGTTTCTGCAACTCACAGCAGGGGGACTTGCCTCAGCTGCCTGTGCACAAGGGAACCCTTGGCCTCTATGCCCAAGGTCTTTTCTGAGCCTCAACCCCGCCCTGCTGAAACAGGCATCCTAGGGAGACACATCTGAAGAGGCCATGTTTGCAGAGCTGAGGGCTGTGGACTAAGATGAAGCCAGAGGGAGAGGCTGGAACACACATGGCAGCTAGGATAGCAGGTGCTAGCTCAAGAGCCCGAGGCTTTGGGAAATCGGTATGACATGCTGCTCTCAGCAGTTGACAGGTGTTGTGCATGTCACAAGACAAATCAGCTAGCACCCCTGGTGCTAATCCAAGCACCAACTGCCCGGTGTAATCTGAGGAGTCCCTTGTCATCTCTACTGATGGCACAACAGGGGCACTCCACCCCATGAAGGATGGGAACTGAAACTTGAGAAGACTGCAGATGTGAGATGGAACGCTGAGTCAGGTGTGGACTTCTCTGGAACAATCGGGAACCATGGGAGGATTGTGGTCAGGAAGCAAAGAACTAACTCATAAGCAAATGGAGAAGGGGTTGAAGTGGGGTAGGAATGTCTCTGAGTCATTTTGAAGGATGGGGGTTGGGGGAGCTGGTCCCTTAGCTCTGTAAGCACTGGCAGAGAGGTCTTTGTGGAGACAAGCTCTGAGCAGCAGCAAAGGCAGTGGGTGTTTTTAGAGAGGAAGGGGGAGAAGGAAGAAAGAAAGAAGGGATGGGGGAGGAGGACAGGAGGGAGGTGAGGTGAAAGGAGGAGAGGGGAGGGAGAGGCAGGAAGAGATGGGAGAGGAGGGGAGACCCAGCAGTGAAGGACGTGGGCACCCTCCTTCTAGTGAAAAACGGAACAGGTGGATTGGAAGAAAGAAAACCAGGAGCCTGAGATCTTAGAATTGTGTGCCCGTTGTTGCTCATAGTTTAACCAGAACACAAGGCCCCACTTGTGCTTCAATTCTGCCTATGCCGTTCCCGAACTCCATGCCTGGCATTTCTGGGAAGCCAGCGGTATATGCTTTCTGGGTAAGACGGCTGCCCACAACTCCCAGGTCCTTCTCTGGGCTCTCAGGAGGTGGTCCTCAGAGGCAGATGGGTGGCCTGTCTTTGCCAATCTTCTCTAAGGATGAGGTACATCTAGATAATGGTTGGAACCCCCCACCCTTGACTTCCCTGCCTGAGCCACACAGTCACAAGCTGCCCTCTGGGGTTGCCATGAGGGTTAGGCAAGGCTGCACAGTTGGAGCGCCACTTGGAGGAAGATGTTGTTTGGAGCTTGGAGGGTTAGTAGGAGTTTGCACAGCAAAAGAATGTTCTGGAGCAGGAACTACATGTTTGGAGGTAAACAAAGACCCTCCTCCCTGCTCCCTTTCTCTCCCCTTCCCTCTTTCTCTTCTTCCTTCATTCCTTTCTTTGCACAGCTCTCACCCTCCCTTCCCTCCCCTCTTTCCCCCCTCCCTTCTCTCCATTCATCCTCCCCCCAGTTGTCATGTGGTCAGTGTGCATGAGTCAAATTGCCCAGTGATCATCTTGGCTCTTGACTCTTCAAATGGGAGTGACAGTGAGAGTGATCATGGGGTCCCTTTCCCCTAGGGGCGAGGCAAGCCCTGGAGGCCATTCGGTATCACTGAGGCCCCAGGCTGGAGGCTGAGGAGAGAGTTCACCATGCAGACAGGGAAGAAGCATTAAAGAGACAAGCACAAGGCAGGGGCTGAATGCTGGAGCAGTTCCCAGCATTCCATTCCTCCATTCCCCCATTCCCAGCACCAAAGATGTGAAAGGAAAGGAGGGCTGTCCAAAGGAGGAGGTGACACAGGCCAGCAGTCAGTGCGGGGGGGGGGGGTGCAGCCTTAAGAGGACTTTACAAAAACTCCTGAGACTGCACCAGGAAAACAAGTTAGGATCCCGGGGCTGATATTCATTCCCTGCTACACTTGATAAGGTGTTCCCAATCATAGAATGGGCCATTTTTCTGAGTTAACACATTGTGTGGGCGTCATCCTAGGCTGCCCCTGGAGGACCCTTGGCACTCAGCTAGGCATCTCCCCGTGGCCACGTGAAGAGTAGTTACCAGCCTCATCCTACACAGGAGACAACCAAAGTCCACAGGGACGCAATTAAGTGGAAGAAGTTGCAGGTGACAGTGCCAAGAGAGAAACAGACAGAGAGCCCGGGGAACCCCAAGAGCCGTCCTCAGCCCTTCTTCCTGTCTCGAGAAATCCTGGGGTCCTGGTTAAAAGTGACTCTGTCTGAGCACTGTCAAGTTCTGTCCTCCACATATGATGCTTACCAGAGCCCTCTGTGATTCTTCCAAACTGTTGAGTCAGTCTTGCCTGGAAGATTCAGGAATGAATGACAGGGACCCTGATCATGTGCCCCACAAATAAAATGTCATGCATGCCTGATCATTAGCTGGTTCTGGATGACCCGGGCACCAAGGGCACTTCATAGCTCTGCCCTGGTGTCATGGCACTTACGAAGGACACGTGCTTTGGAGTGGGCTCCTTTCCTTTGTTTGGACGAACATGTCAGCTTGCACTTGTTTTTATGACTAATGAGGGGCTCTGTGAGGGTCACAGGAATTGTCACCCCTCATTTCCTCATTTCCTTGTGGTTCACATTATTCACTTGATCTCCTATGTGTGATGTTGTTACACATTGGTTTTTTATGAGATTTCTTGATCACAATGTGATCAAGCTTAATTAAGGTGGAATAGCACAAATCTGAACCCCATTGACAGGCTGAAACACTTTACAATGAACTGAAAGTGAGTTGAAAAAGATATGCTTGTGTTAATACCATTGTCCCTTCCCCCAAGGATGAAAGGCCCCCTCATCCCTCAGGATCCCAGGCCTGTCTGAGGGCCTGTGTAGACACCAAGCAACAGAATGCCACGCTCAGTCCAGTCCATTCACTACATACTGCTCAAGGTTAAGCTCATATTTTTTACAGCCTATACAGAGACCTTCACACCCACGAAGGCGGCTGCCATTGAAAGAAAATAGTATTTCTGAGAATGTCGAGAACTTGGCAGTCCATAATCAATCTGTGACTGGCCATATGACCCAGCACCCCCACTTCTGAGTATATACCCCCAAAACTGAAAGCTTGCAAAGTGGCCAAGAAGCAACACAAGTGTCCATCAGTGGATAAACCAAGGAAAACAGGCACGATAGAGTATTAGTCTGCCTTAAAAAAAAAAAAAAAAAAAAACTGTCAGCCAAGTATTGGTGGCACACGCCTTTAGTTCCAGCACTCACGTGGCAGAGGCAGGCGGATCTCTGTGAGTTCAAAGCCAGCCTGATCTACACAGCGAGTTCCAGGACAGACTCCAAAGAAATACAGAGAAACTCTGTCTTGAAAACCAAAACAAAACAAAAAAAAAAAAAAATCTTATTTTTTCTCTCTCCCTTCCATCCCCTCCATTTCTTAATTTAAAATGTTTACATGTAATTACTTCTTTTGTCTAAAGACTCACTCCACAGCCATATGAATACAAAATAATACTAATTAACAGGGGAAGGAGGTAATAGTGAGGTGGGAATGTTCCAGAAATGAATAATGCTGAGGGTCAGATAGTGATGGGAATGGACTCACTGAACTGTACACTTGCAAAGTATGTCTATTTTACCACCATTTTTAAAGCTATGGCCTTTACCACTACCCTGACACACAAGAAGCCATTTTTAACCTAAGATCTGTGGTTTGCAGAGAGAGCAGTACCTGAACTCTCCGCATAACTTCCCTGCTTTGTACACCAGCCAGTAGGGAAAGTGAGGTTTGAAACTAAGCCCACCCATGTCTGTACCTGGACGCCAGCTACAGTTCCCTCGTGTCGTCAGGACAGGTGAAAGACAAGAGGAAACAGTTATGTGTACACACATATCTGTGCACATCTATGTGCATGCATGTGGAAGCCAGAGGACAACCTGGGGTGTAGTTCTTCAGACGTCTACTTTTTTTTTTTTAAGGCAGTGTCTCTCACTGGCCTGGAACTTAGCAAGAAAGCTAGGCTAGCTAGCCAATGAGCTCCAGGGAAATTTTTCGTCCTCTCCTCCCTGATGCTGGGATTACAAGCATGCACCACCATGCCCAGCTGTTTTTACTTGGGTTCTGGGAACCAAACTCAAGGCATACACTTTGCCATCTGAGGCATCTCTCCAGCCAAAAGAGAGAGGAGTTCCAACATAAACACACAAAATAAACATTTGTGGGGGTATTTTTTGTTTGTTGTTTGTTTTGGGGGGTTGTTTACTTATTTTGTTTTGCTTTTCTAGACAAGGTTTCTCTATGTAGCCCTGGCTGTCCTGGAATTTGCTCTGTAGACCAGGCTGGCCTTGAACTCAGAGACACCCCCCCCCCCTGCCTCTCCCTTCCTAGTGATGGGATTAATGGCATGTGCCACCACATGGACAAAAAAGTGTTTGCTCAGATTCTTAGTTTTCCCCCATGTTAGGGTTCTTTAGGGTCCCAGCTAGGGCATCACAACACACTTAGTTGTTACATCTTCTTTTCCTGTGACTTCCTTGTTTTTAATGACTTTGACGGTTCTATGGAAGAGCGGTCAGACACTGTATAGCCTGTGCCTCAATTGGATCTGTCTTCTCATATCAGACTGGGGGACTAGGCTTGGAGGAGGACAACTCTCGAGGGATAAAGTGCCCTTCTTGTGATGATATTTCAAGGGTACAAACCGTCAACAAGATTTGTCACTGTAGATGTTGACTTTGATCACCTGGCTGGGAAGTTTGTCAAGCATCTTGCCCATAAAGTGCTCTTTCCTCTGCTTCATATCCTGGATTCTGTGCAGGGAGTTCCCTGTACACAGTCAGCACCTGAGAACAAAGGTGAAGATCTCCACAAGGCTGGAAGTATCTGCATAATTTATGCACTGACGAAGCAACTTAACTCTCCTCTCCAATCCCTAATTTACATAGAGGATGTATGTAATTGTCTTTAGAGGAGTATAGGCTCCTGATACTCATTTTGTGCTTCAGGCTATGGTTTAATTCCTGCATACCTTCCTTCTTCCCTCCTACCTGGGGCTTGACTACCAAGACCCCTCTGTTTAGATGTATTATAGGTATCTGTGGTTGATTAGCTGTATCAAAAGGTGGATGTAAGGTGCTTTTTAAGTAACGGCCCTTCTTCTGTACAATATACTGTCTCTTTTCATTAAATTCAGTAGCTGCCACTTAAGCAACTGCTGTCCTAATCAGCAACTGCAACAACTCAGCTACCAGAAGCCCTTTGGCAGCACTGGCCACAGCCAGCTTGATGGGGGAGGTCCTTCTGTAGATGTGTTTCTCTTATTGGCTGATGAATAAAACACTGTTTGGCCAATAGCCAGTAGAGACAGGAAGATAGGTGGGGCTAGGAGACCAAGAGAATGCTGTGGAGAGAGGCTGAGAAACTGTGGGAAAACGCCATGTAGCCACCAAATGAGTAACAGGTCTGGGCATTCTCCAGTAAGCCAAGACCATGTGGAAATACATAATTTATAGAAATGTGTTAACAGTTAAGATAGAGCTAGCCAAAAAGAAGCACTAGTCATCAGCCAACAATTTATAAATTAATATATGTCTCTGTGTGCTTATTTAGGGCTGAAATGGTGGCAGGACCTGGCTGAAAGAAACTCCAGCAACACCAGCCAGGCAGGAATTCTGTTCCCTCAGGCATGGCTCTGGTCACTGCTAAAGGGAACGTCATCTAGATCTCTATCCCTCTATAGAACTCATCAAAGGGTGAGGTGAAATTCTGCTTGCCCAGAGGGTCTGAATAGCAAGTAGCTAACCTTTTCTTCTGGCTCATGTCTCCCACCCAAAACTGGGCCTTCTTCTGCTTCGCCCCCAACTTAAGAACCCTAGCTACACTTGGTTCCCCCCTACCACTTCCTGTTAGCTAGTTGTTGACTCAACCTGGTGACCCCAGGTTAATTTGTTTAATCAAATAAATGTGACACGTCTGAAAATAAATAATATTCTACAACAAATAATGACAATATTCTTCAGTGAAAGTTGTTTGAGAACTTATGCTGACCCTGGTCACCTGACTGAGGCCACTGTTTCCAATCTCCACCATTAAGTTCCTCTCTTGTTTATTTCTGAGATTTTCTATTTAAATGGTATTTGTTTGTTTTTTGGACTACGATTGACCTCTGTTCACTGAAACCACAGATGAGACGGGACTGCTCTAGAAGTCTAAAGACATCTTCTAGCCCTTATCCTCATCACCTACTGTTATTTTATTGACTTGGTGAGCTGCTACAGAAAGCTTTGGCCTCCTGAGAGTGGGTGACAGTCATAGTCAACTGCATCTTACTCTTTGTCAGGGTTGGGCAGTTTGGGTATGTTTTTGGCTGCTAGGAACACTAGTGCTTGGCATTAGGTCTCTGGGTTTGAGATAAGAAGAACACTATGATGAACACTAAGAATACTTAGATAAGGCCAGGCCAGACACCTATGGGTACTAGGGCCCCACCTGTGCTATCTTAAATGAACCCTGGAGCAGTGTGCACCCCTAAGAGTGACCTGGAAATGGGAACCCAGAATGTCAGGTCTGAAGTCAGATTCCAAAGGCAGCTTTGGGAGGCTACCTAGGCCTCTTCTCATTCCACCCTTACATCCACTCTCATCAGAAGCATGTCACATATCACCCCCATTGGGGATGCCATTTCTGGGCGAATCCAACATCTGTGGGGACCTCCTCCTAGGCCTGTGGTTGCCAGCCTGCTGGAGCTGCCATAACTCAGCTCCACAGTATCTGTGATGACATCTGCAGTCACAGCTCAATACTGTCCACACCCTGGACCAGTCTCTTGAGGCTGCCGTCTCTCTAGGATGTTCTCTGTTTTCCAGATTCAGCCTCCACCCTGCCACCAACCTGCTTCCATACTGCATTCCTCTCTAATAACCATCTGCAAGGACATTCGGGAAGGGACTGAGGGACCCAAAGATTCCTTCAGAAGTAGAGAAATGGTTGGGAAGTTACAAGATGAATTTTGGGCAGCATGTGTGTACGAGTGCACTTGGAGGACGGAGGTCTCTAACAGATAGATGTCTTCTATAAATAGCCACATTATTTGACACAGAGTCTCTCACTGAACGTGGAACCCGCTGACCCCACTAGTCTGGGTAGCCAACAATCCTCCCATCTCTGCATCTCCAGCATTGATACTTTACGTGCATATTGGTATGCCCAGCTTTTCATATGGGTTTTTTGTAATTGAACCTGGGCCCTCATGATTGCACAGCAAGCACTAACGTGATTGTGGGATTGAACCATCTCCCCAGTAAAATTAAAAGTGTATTAAAAACAAACAAAACAAGCCAAGAGAGGTTGCTCTGTCTTGACACTCTGGAGTGAGTTGAGGACCCTGATTTTCTCCAGACTAAAGTGGATGGAGTTTAGGAGGACCCACAGGGAGGAGCTGACAGGTGCTAGTGGCATTTTGAAAGATATGTCATCTTACTCTGTTTGGTTGGTATGGAAATGGATTTAGGATGTTACTGTACTGATTAACTGCCTTGTTACTCTGTTTATTATTGCTGTTGTGCAAAACAGGATGGAATGGGCTAGAGAGATGGCTAAGAGCACTGGCTGCTTTCCCAGAGGACCTGGGTTTGATGCCTAGCACCCACTGTTCACAACCATCTGTAACTCCAGTTCTGCGGGACGTGTCACCTCCTTCTGAGCTTCTTGTGCACTAGACACATGTGAGGACACAGACATGCAGGCAGACCACTTCATCTCTGGGGATAAAGAGAAATTCTCCATATAGCAAACTTATCAAAATTAGTAAAAGCCCTAAACTTTTGGGTACTTTGGAGATACACTTATTTTTGTTTTTTTTTTTTTTTTTTTGAGACCAGGTTTCTCTCTGTAACAGCTCTAGCTGTCCTAGAACTTTCTCTGTAGACTAGGCTGGCCTCAAACTTACAGAGATCTGCCTGCTTTTGTCTCCTGAATGCTGGGATTAAAGGCATGCACCACTACTACCCATTGGGCTATGTTTATTTTAAATGCCGTCATATTGTGCTTTGGCACAATGGATCTAAGACATGTTTTACAAAATCCTTCTTTTACTGAAGTTGTTCTCAATGTTCCTAATGCTGTAGCCCTTTAATATAGTTCCTGCTGTTGTGGTGACCACCAACCATGAAATTATTTTCTTTGCTACTGCGTAACTGTCATTTTGCTACTGTTGTGGATCATGATGTAAATATCGGATTTGTGCTCCCAAAGGAATGGTGACCCACAGTTTGAGATCTGCTGTTTTACTGGCTGTCTTTCTGGGTTCAGGTGCTTCTAGAAAAGTGTTCTGAATCTGAGGTGTTTCTAGCTCCAAACTTAGTATTTTAGTTAAGATTTCTATTGCTTTGATGAGACACCATGACCATGGCACCTCTTATAAAGGAAAGCATTTAACTGGGGCTGGCTTACAGTTCAGAGTTTTGGTCCATTATCATCAGGGCAGGAAACATGGTGGCACACAGGTAGACATGGTACTGGAGAAGGAGCTGGGAGTTCCACATCTGGATTGGCAGGCAGCAGGAAGACAGAGAGCCACTGGGCCTGATTCACCCCCAGTGCCACTTCCTCTAATAAGGCCATGCCTACTCCAACAAGGCAACACTCCTAATGCCACTCCCTAAGCATTCAAGGATGAGCTATGAGGGCCATTCTTAATCAAACCACCACATTCTACTCCCTGATTCCCCCCCCCATAAGCTTATCATCATGCAGAAATGGATTCAGTTCAACTTCAAAAGTTTCCATAGTCTATCAGTCTCAACCCTGTTTAAAAGTTCAAAGTCCACTCTGAGACTCATGGCAATCTCTTAACTATAATGCCCTATGAAATCAAAATTAAAAAAGCATACCACATACTTCCAACATATAATGGCACAGGATATACATTACCATTCCAAAAGGAAGGAAATGGAACACAGTGAGGAAATGCTAGACCAAAGCAAGACCAAAACCAGCTGGGCAAACTCTAAACTCTGCATCTCTAAATCTGATGTCAAAGTGCTCTTCAGATCTCTAACTCCTTTCAGCTTTGTTGACTGCAGCACATTTCTTTCTCTTGAGCTGGTTCCATTGCCTGTTAGTAGCTCTCCTCAGCAGGTATCCCATGACCCTGACATCTCCAGCATCTTGGGGTCTGCAAGGCAATCTAGGCTTCATCTTCACACCCTCACACAATGGTCTCTCTGGGCCTCCATGCAGAGACATCCCTGCCACACACCTGGCTTCTGTAGCATTCCCTAGTCACAGAGGGAGTTACTACAACTCCATTCTTGTATCCTTGACTCTGAAGCCAAACTGTGTAGCCAAAGTTTCACCAGCTTTCTGATTTTCAGGGTTTCCTTTCCTGCCTAAGCTTGGCTGCCCTAGAACATAAGCTGTAGACCAGGCTGTCCTCAAACCCAGAAATTTACCTGCCTCTGCCTCCCAAAAGCTGAGATTAAAGACAGTGCATTATCATACCAGGCCCTAAACTTTTCTTTAATTCCTTTCCACAGGCTGGAATATCAGCTGGGTGGGGTCTTGTCCTATTGTCACCCTCCCTTTATTCCATTTAGCATCAGGATTTCTTTAATCTGTTTATTTCCCTGAGCAGTGGACTTGACTCATTATACTTCTCAGTGCTCCTTTTCTCCTCAAACTACACATTCTGTATTTTCCCTTGTTTAGCTTGTCCCTTTTTTATTATTATTATTACAGATATGATTAAGCAACACAGTCAATGTTAGGCTACCTGGAAATCTCCCCTGCCAAAGATGTTAAGCCATAACTCTTCAATTTAGCTTCAGGTAGATTTTTTTTTTTTTTTTTTTTTTTAGACAAGAGCAGAATGTAGCTACATACTTTGTTAAACTAGGCTTTGTACATCCTTTTCCTCTGAATCCTCTTGATCCAAGTTGCCACAGTTCAAATCATCCTCACCACCACTGTCTTCCATGTTCCTACTAGTATGGAAGCACTCAACTACTCTCCTAACCCAAAGTCCCAAAGTCCACATTCTACCAACAAGAAACTTAGCCAGGACTTGCACAGCAATACCCCAGTCATTGGTACCAATTTCTATCTTACTTATCTCATCCCCACTGACATATCCTCCATTAAACCACACCTCCTAATGCCACTCCCTAAGCATCCAAATATGAGTCTATGGAGGCCAATCTTATTCAAATCACCACACCTAGAAACCAGAGGATTATGAGCAATGATGACACAGTTGCTATAGACATTACTGCAGAAACCTTGGGCTTGTAGAAGAGAGAGAGCCCATCACAGATGGTTCAGCGTTGAACACTTGGGCTCATACTGCTAGTCAACAGCACTAGGTCACACTCTTGGGAACTTTGCAGAAAATGTTTTTCACTGTGAACTTTTAGCCTTCATGTTATTTTCCTGCCTCTCCTTTTCCTTTCAACATTCTTCTCTCATTTATGAATGGCCATAACAACAACAAATATCCTTTGCATTATGGTTTGTTAATAGCTCATCTTATTCTTGGAGGTAAGATGCTCAAGTGTGGAAATAATTATTCCTTTCTTTCCCACCTGTAACCCGTGCATTCTCATTCACGGTGCTTTGTACACATAGTTAAACATGGCTTGGGAATGTACATGAATCAACAAGCTTTAAGTTTACTGGAAGAATGTAAGAGGATAGAAAGAATGACAATCACTTCTATTCCCAGTTGACTCATGCTCCAGGCCAGGCTCTCTACAGGACGAATATACATGATACTGGTCATTACAGAAAGTGTTTTTGTAATTGCTTATACAGAGTCAGATTGTTTAGGTTATCTTATCCTGTTTCTATATCTTCACAACAGTCGGTGTATGTTATGTATACGAAGTAGGTCAGTCCTTTACCCTCCTATGGTCGCTTAGATGAGTATTCCTACTGTGGACAATGCTGGCTATTGGCCAGCACTTTCAGTGGCTATTGAAAACCACACAGAAAGTTGACAAACCAAAATGGAATCCGCTGCATGTTAGAAAAGACACAGGATAACCCACGGGGAGAAAAATAACCCATGGATGGAGAGAAAACAACCCTGTACATTGATAGCAAAGAGGTCACAACAACCAACTCTGTCCAGGAGAAAAAAGGGAGAAGAGAAGCATGAGCCATAGTCAAGGGCCAACAAGAAAGGCTAACTGAGGTACCAGGAGCTGAGCAAAACCCAGTTAACCTTGGGAATCTCTCTCTTTTTTATTTTTTTACTTTTATTTTTTAATTTTATTTTTTCTTATTTTACATATCTATCCCAGTTTCCTCTCCCTCCCTCCCGGGAACCTCTCTTTACAGATGTCATGGAGAGTGTATTGTCAGCTGTTGACGAGGTTTCTGCTGTAGTCACCATCCTTGGGTCTTATTAGAAGCAAGATTAGCAGACTCTGCTCCAGTAGCTGTCACTGAGGAGATGGTGGGTACAAGTTTCTGGTAGAAGGCCACCCATGATGGGGAGAGGTAGTGGAGCAAAGACTACCCTTTGTAAGGAGTAATGTTTTTCTGCCCACCACTGTGCCTGCCCCAATTAATACACCGAGACTCTGTATTTGATATAATTCTGTTGGTCAGGTACTAGTTTCTTATTGGCTAGCTCTGTCTTAAGTATTAACCCATTTCTGTTAATCTAAGTATTTCCATGTGGTTTCATCTTACCGGGGAATGGGGCGGGTGTCTGGTCTCCCCAGTCTCTCCGTCTTGACTCCTCCTTACTACTTCTTCTTTCCTCCTTGTCTCCTAGTCCCACCTGTCTTGCTTTCCTATTGGCCAACAGTGCTTTATTCATTAACCAGTATGAGAAACATATTTACAGAATGGCATCTCTCATCAACCCTTCACTGTCATGCATATTAGTTCTGTCATTTTGGTAAGCCTGGAATTATGAACCATTATTGTTATTTGATACAAAAAATACTGGTATAGATTTTTACCCTCAAGACACATCACTCCCTCTGTGTGTTTCATGCCATCTTTCTCGGATGATTTTCTTTCCTTCTGAGAAACGTTCTTTATATAGTTCCTTTGTGTTGCCCTTCTGAGAGCAAACCTTGCCCTTGTTTTAATGAAAATGTCATTACTTCAGCCATAGTTTTGAAGAATGATTTTTCTAGACACATGATTTCTGCTTGGCAGTTGTAGTTTCAGCACTTTGTAGATCACTACTCTACTGCTTTTGAGCTTGTGTTGCTATTTTTGAGAAAATCAGCCTTGGTCTAGTTAGAGTATGCATTTCTGTAAGCGAACCATCTCCTTTCAGCTCCTTACAGTCTTACTTAGTCTTTTGCAGTCTGCATTTTCACTATGATATGTTTAGGTGTCGATTTTCTTTGTTCTTATCTCTGTGGATTCAAGTATTTCATCAGGTCTGGGATATTCTTTACCACTGTGTCTCTGAATATTGTTTTCTTCCATTCTCATTGTTCTCTTCTTCTGGAATTCCAATTAAACAGAAATTTCATTATTCTTTTCAATATCTCCCTTACACTTCCTTGTCCATTTTTATGTTGTCCTTTGAGTAATCTCTTCATGTGTATATTCTAGTTTACTCACTTTTCCTTTATCTGCTTCTGGACTGCTACGGATGTGTTTAAGTAGGTAAAGTTTATCATCTATGTCTCTATCATCCACCTCCCATGAGATCAATTATTCACATACAATGTATTCAACCTATTTAAATTTTATAATTCCATATCTTTCAGTATCCTCAGAGTGATATAACCATTTCCACTGAGAGTTATATAACCAACCATCAATACAGTCAGTGTCAGAACTGAAGGCTCAGTGGGGAAGCCTAGGGTTTCATCCCTAGGACTCACTCAGGGGAAGGAGAGAACTAACGCCTACATGATGTCCTCTAACCCTCACAGTCAAACAGGCAAACCTTGGCGCACACACACACACACACACACACACACACACAGAGAGAGAGAGAACATACACACCCACTTCATCACACAAATAAATGTAATTTTTTAAAAAGAAAATTCATATCCATCTGTCATCTCCTTAGTGTCCTCCCACCCCAGCCAACCAATAATCTACTTTTTTCTCTCAGCATATTTGCTCGATCAGGACTTTGATATAGTGCAGTCAAATGTTACACAGTCTTTCGTGACTGGTATCTCTTCTTATCACATTTCTAACCTGTCATTGAAGTCAGTTGTTTTATACTAGCAACTACATTTCTTATTTATCTGACTGCTGTCACTCATTTCCAATTTACCTGATTTTTTTGGATGGTCTCTTGTTATTTCTATGACTCTGTTTTAAAATGTTTGCCTATAGTTCTGTTTTTTTTTTTTTTTTTTTTTTTTTTTTTTTTTTTTTAAACCTGCTTCTATTGATTTTCCCACATGGTAGTTTGTTTCCTTGTGTATCTAGTGATCTTAGGCTGGAAACTGATAGTTCATAGTCCTTTAAAAGAAGTTTGAGTTACAGCTATTTTATTATTTTTATGTGTTTGGTTTTTTGTTTGTTTGTTTGTTTGTTTTGAGACAGGGGTTCTCTGCGTAGTCCTCACAGTAATCTGCCTGCCTCTGCCTCCTGAGTGCTGGGATTGAAGGTGTGTGCCACAATGCCTGGCCCAAGAAGTTTGAATTTTAAATCCTCACAAGAAACTACAGCAGTCAGAACTTTTGGCCCAGGATCTTTTACAATGGTCTGGCTTAAGGTGGAGCCTAGATGGAATCTCTAGCTGCTTACTGCTTACAATTTTTTTCTTTTTCTTTTTGAGATAGGGCCATATATAGGCCAAGCTGGCCTCATACTCAGCGCATATATGAAGATAACCTTGAATTGAACTTTGGATCCTACTGCCTCTACTTCCCCAATACTGGGAATACAGGTATAGGCTGCCACATCTGACTTTATGTAGTGCTGGGGATGGCACCCAGGCCTGTATGCATGCTAGGCAAGTGTTCTACCAACTAAGTCCCCAACTATCAACACACAACTTGACCTTACCAGCCTTTCCTGTGTATGCTGACTTCTTGTGTGTGTGTGTGTGTGTGTGTGTGTGTGTGTGTGTGTGTATACATGCACTCGTGCATGTGAGTGCTTCTCAGAGCTATCCTTGGATTTCTGCATGTCTGGCTATATACAGAAGCTTGCCCCTCAGACTCTACAGCCACTTCCTGGAGTTCCCTGCCTGTGTCTCTTTCTACTCTGGCTCACTAACCTTAATGAGCCCTGGGCCTCCCTTGTAATCCTCTCTACCCTCCAACTTCGTGATCTGCCCTTCTCATCCCATGTGTCCATGCTATGAACCTGTCTGACAGAAATGCCTTCTTGTGGTAACAGACTATCTGTGAGCTCCATCATCATGCCAACCTGTCCTTGGGACTTTAAGTGACTTCCTTAACCATCGCCATGTCCTTGTGTATAGAAATCAATTATATATCAGAAGGGGCAAACTGAGGCCCTGTAAAGTTGGGCAGCTTGCTTGCCTCTTGCTACTTGCAAGTGTGGGACCTGGGCAATGAACTGGAAGTACCCTGCCTCTTTTGCATTGTTCACGACTGCAGCATGAAACAGAAGGGCCGGGGCCCTCTGAGGACTTGGCAAATGTCCTGCTGACCAGGGACTAGCTACAGAAAGCCAGGAGCTGGCCTCTCTGTTACCTTGCCTGCCACACAAGGCTTGGCAGTAAGCCCAAGGTTCTCTGAGCTTATCTGTGACTGGAAAACCAAATGCTAACTCAAGGGTCAAGAGTCTCCTGCCTGATGTGTGTTGACAGACCACAAAATCAATGCCGTGGCTGCCTTGGGTGCACGACACTAGCTGCTTTGTTGCATTTTCAGCTTGGCTGGGAAACCCTGAGGATAGACTCCAGCCCCCACATTTGGCTTGATCCAACAGGGGTGTGAAATTGAAAGCCAAGTGTGACCAAGCAGTCAGCATCTAGAGTCTCTAAGTGACACCCATGTGAGGACCGATGGT